CTGATATTTTCAGTACTGATTTTTGCAGTACTGTAACGGTACTGATATTTTCAGTACTGTAACACTACTGATTTTTTGCAGTACTGTAACAGTAATGCTTTTTGCAGTACTGTAACAGTACTACTTTTTAGTAGTGTGTTTCGTGGAATGATTTATTTCCCTACCGAACCGTAAACTTACCATTCAGTGCTCACCTCATTTTGGTCAATATTTAACTTCTGTTTAAGTAAATGTTGCAATCTGTCTTTTCAATGTCTTTTTTTTCTCTCGATACTTTGATAAAGTAGGTGTGGCTTGTATTTTGATTTGAATGCATTAAGGTAGCACTACAGTCTTACAATAATTTTTGGACGATATTTTTTTTATCATATAATTTTGAAGTAAGTATTACTCTGCACAGTTTGTAAAAATCCCAAAGTCATTATCATATCACAACAGGGAGTAAATTGATAATGAACTTATGTAAATAAAAGCACATGTAATTAATCTAAATATATAGGCATTTGGGAGGGGCTAATATGTCAATCATCTGTTGATGATGTACCAGTGTCCAGCTGGTAATCCCTGACCACAAGATGAATATCTCATTGCATTGCAACAAAACTAATTTATAAAACATGGAAGTTTAGAACAGAGAAAAAGAAAAAGATATGAATAGGAAAAAATTTAAAGGGAAAAAAATCTACTAAAATGAAAAAAAAAGTATGGAAAAGAGTGTGAATGTATCTTTGAAAGCCTCTGACTGCCTGTATAAATTTCTCGTCTTTGTTCTTCTACATTTAAAAATAATTTTAGGCATTTTAACTAATTTTAAGTTTATGTGAAATTTTTTAATTCCACGAAACTCATAAATCATGTTGGACAGTCTATTTTCAAGAAGGGGATTGTCTTGATCTTTTTATGGACTTGTCTTTTAATGCACAATTTTAATATTTAAGCTAATTTCAGTCATGATGGTCATATTATATTTCTTTTTAAAATTCAAATGAAAATTATTCTTTATAGTGAGAATAATGATGTTAAATATTAATTATGATGCAGCTGGCCAATCCTGTTATTCTCTTATCTTAGACTGTCTGGACAGAGGCGGAGCTTTGTCTTTATTTAATTACTACAACACAGATGTTGGTCAAATCTGTGACGTCATACTCCCGCCAAATGCCAAGTTAGTGTTATACAGTGCACACAAAATGTAAATTTTACAGCATTAGAGCATCAAAGACACAATGTGTGTGGTTCTATTGATAAAGTAATGGTGTTAGAACACTACTGGGGTGTTCCCGGTGGAATTTTTGTATTTATGTGGCATTTATAGGGGTTCTTTAGAGGAAATTCAGTTTAAAGGTCATTTCTCAGAACAATTTTTCATGAGAATTGTAAGGAAAAAATGAAAATAGAAACTTTATGGGTACCCCTATTGGCTTGACTTTGATATATGTGATTGAAGGGAGTATATTCTACAATACCGTGTCCCAGTTTTTGGATAATTTGTTTCTAAATGAATTTATAGGTCTTCAAAGATGAAAGGTGAAATGAGGTTTGGCATCCAGCAGTAAAAATAATATATCTTATTACTGGAGGCATATATCAAAAATCTGAGACACGGTTTTGTAGATTGTGAATGGTTGATTAAAGGGATGAAAACAAATTTTTACTACCATTTGACCTGAATGTGCCATTTTCATCCAAGTTGGAAGACCACTTTTTTGGCAATTAATGAGCTATATTTTGAGATTAATCATTCCAAAAATAAATTTATCTATAGATTAAGAAAGAGTTATATTTCAGCTTTAAAATGAGTTAAATATTTTAAAAATCCATTGAGTAGTTTTGGAGAAATTAATCTTTAAAGACTGTTGGTTGGAGTCAGAAAATTCTGACTGTAGTGCTACCACTGGGTCTTCAACGCATTGAACAATTCCTCAACCTGAGGCTGGCTTCAGTTGGCCCCTAAACCATAATGTATACTACTACAGCTAAATGGACGCCACACTAAACTCAGAAACATACAAATGAACCAAAAATTTTAAAACACACAAGATTAACAAAGTATAAAGGTTCCTGACTTGGGAGAGGTGAAAAACTATGGCGGGGTTAAATATGTCGTGTGAGATCTCTACCCTCCCCCTATAGCTCTAGCTAATGTGCAATAAACAAACACACATTAATACCATGTATGTTTAATTGCTTGTGTATATACATTTCATAATATACATTTTTTATGTTTGTAAGCATTTAATTTCAAATTTTGTGAGTATCGTCTTTTGTATGTCTTTGTATGGATCAAAAATTTGGATTTTACACCAAAAACACTATCATTATAGTCGCGAAAACTAAAATATAGTTATTATTGTGATTTGAAAAAAATATATAAACTTAGACTACATATAGTAGTCGTTAAAAACTATTATATGCTCATCTGTTAATGTTCTTGAAATAAGTCATATAGACTTAATACCTCTTTCAAGCAGTTTAACAATAAACAAACTCATCCGACATGCTAAACTTTGAGTGAAGTTCGTTGGACTGACAAATAAAGTTTGTAAGCATCACACCCATATCACAAAAGTTTGTGAATAAGTATTGCATTGAAAACGTATAAATATTGAAAGCAGTTTCAGAACTTTATATAATCCCTTATGACCTTTGTGGTGAATAAAATAATTAAAAAACACTTATTCATTTATTTTTTATTTTATTTCGTTGTTCATTGTGACAACGGTCATCCTTCCCTGTAGAGCCTCATACATGGGTTGATCCTTTGTTTCAATAAATTGAAATAAATCTCTAACTTTAACCCAGAAGGTTCCCCTTTCAACCCCTCTTATGTATACAATTTTCTGAAAGAAAAATAAAACACTAAATAAAAATAGGTCAATTCAACTGTTTACTGTTTGCTACTTTCATTGCTAAATACTTAAAATTCAATATGCAAGGGACATTTCACACCATTGCTACATCAATTTGTTTACTAATTTCTAGTTTTACACAAGGAACATTTTATCCAAGAAAATTGATAACTCAAACTGAAAGAGATGAAAATTTTATGGAACACCTTGTTCTTGCATTTGGAGACTGTTTAAAGAGGAACATTATGTTCACGTGTGGATTTTGTCGGTTTTTGTTTATCATATTTGTTTTCCATCTATGTAATTTACATGAAATATGTCTTTGATATCTGCTCTAATTGTTTATCATTCTGTAATATCGATGCCCTTTATAGGTTACTAGCATTATACGACATGGGTTCTTGGTTGTGCTTTATAGCGAAAATTAAGTTGTCTGGTTTACAATGATGCAACATCTTTGTTAGGAGGCCTTCGTATATATTTGAAATATCAATGTGTTACGTTGAATGTGGCATTCTACCACTAATTTAATATCAGGATGATTGTGACGCGGCAGATATGCATATGGAGAGTTGTCCCATTGGCACTCAAACCACATCTTCTTATATCTATATAATCGGCTATTACAAAAATATATCAGATTGCTATCAAAATGCAGTTTCTAATCTGCAAATATATTTAAAAAATTTTCCGATCAGTTTTCGATCTAGCAATTCAAAATATTTATATGTATACACCCTAACCATCAGCAGAACAATTTTCTTTCTGTAACTGATTGTGTTCGAATCAGTTGGATGGATTGAATCCTGGAAGTTTTGAAACAGTTTTCTGGTTAAAGGCTCCCTCCCTAAATCCATATTTTGTTTAAGATACAATTGACATTATGGCAATTTAATGGTATGGACAAATTGGCAGCGGTTCTGATTTTATTTATTGCAGACAGAATGATTTTACATTGTTAAACATTTTAATGGTTCTTTGAATTTGCAAAGGTGTGTGCAAATCTTAAAAACTGTATATTCATCGTGACTTTGAACATGTTTTCAATCATAAGCCGATATATACAAACGAATATTTACTTCTTTTTCATTGTGGCATTCATAACCTCTTTGTTTTTTTTATAACTAATTTACCATTTTTAAGGGCTTGTATCCGGTTTCAAGAGCCGTTTTAAATTTGAACCTAGTTATAAGCTCCAGCTCTGTGACTTTAAAATGTATAACGTCAATAGAAAACACTCCTTTTTTGCTAGTGTGTGTGTATCGATTTCGTGTTATGAATTAATGCAAGTTTTACACCATTTCAATTTATATGGCATTACCGTTTACATCATCCTACTGACATGATATGATGTCCAGCAGTCGTTATAAATCTGCAGGCATAATATATTTACCATAATCAAGTTTAGTTTACAGACTGCATTGCAATATCTGTTTTTGAGGACATTGTATATTATCCCCGGCTTAGTATATTTCTAGGATTTTGATTGGTTAACGCACGTCGTTACAAAATCCATAGCCCCTGTGTGTTGCTTACCCATATACCCGGACGTTGCTACCCATTACAACGGGGAACATCACGCGCGTTTTCCTTAGTTCCATGGTTGTTCCTTATGAAATATCGAATTCTGTAGATTATCCATGATGTTTGTAATTAAATATTTAATCAACTAACGATTTTATCTTATGTCGATATTTTGGACACATTTTAGTAACTGCATTACTTAGCTGCCACATTGTCAATGAATTGGACTACTGACCTAACTATGCAAATGACCCACGTTGACGTCACATCGTCTATGATTTAACTCTCACAAAATTGAGCGCCAAATTCGACCCATTCCCGTTTCTCTGTCTCTGGATTGAAAACGTCTTATATTTAACTACCTGTAGGGTTCTACCAAAGGTAGTACCCTACACCCCGTTAAAAATAGGTCAAATTCCAAAATTTCAATAAAAGATTTTCACAAAATGAAAAAAACGTTGCTTTCACGTTACATTTTGTGGTTGAATTTCTCTAAAAATCGCAAGATTTGGACTAAGACCGGGGATAAATTTAGGGTGTACTTGGATACTTCAGGGTGTTAAAATATCCATATCTACGGATATGAATGTAGATAACTTATAAGATTACCATGAGGACATTGCATGGGATTACTATGAGGAAATTGTACAAAACAACACATATGAATTATTCTTACATTTCTGTACATGTTAGGTCTATATTCCATAGAAAATTTCCTTTTCATGAATTGTTTTGCCATTCTTATTTCGTAAGGCGTAGCTGACCTGTTCATCTCTATAACCACGATCTGCTTTAGTTCATCCTTCAAACATATAATGACATTTTGCAAAATGACTTTTTTTTTAAACTGCTCTAAACATTTAGCAGGATCTGCGTACCCTTCCGGAGCACCTGAGATCACCCCCAGTTTTTGGTGGGGTTCGTGTTGCTTAGTCTTTGGTTTTCTATGTTGTGTCATCTGTACTATTATTTGTCTTTTTGTCTTTTTATTTTTGGCCATGACGTTGTCAGTTTTTTTCGGTCTATGAGTTTGACTTTCCCTCTAGTATCTTTCGTCCCTCTTTTAGCACGAATAAAGGCAACAGTAGTATACCGCTGTTCGAAACTGATAAATTGATAGAGATAAAAACAAATCCGGGTTACAAACTAAAACTGAGGGAAACACATCAAATATAAGAGGAGAACAACGACACAACAAAAACACAACATTAAAATGTAACACACACAGAAACGAACTATAATATAACAATGGCTATTTTCCTGACTTGGTACAGGACATTTTAAGAAAAAAATGGTGAGTTGAACCTGGTTTTGTGGCATCCCAAACCTCCCGCTTTTATGGCAACGTCAAACACAACACCAAAACGACAACATCACATGACAGGACCACAATGCAAATAAATGGGACAACATATAGGACAAAGAAACACACGAATAATAGCTAACAAAAGGTACTAGGCTTAAAATTCAATACGCCAGACGTGTGTCTCGTCCACACAAGACCAACCAGTGACGCTCAGATGAAAAAAGTTTGAAAGCCAAAACAAGTACAAAGGTGAAGAGCACCGAGGACCAAAACTTCCAACAAGTTGCGCCTAACATGGCCAGGGTTTTCTGCCTGGGACAAGAACATCCTTATTATTTAGAATAATTTATAATTTTGCAAACAGTAAATTTTATAAAATGACTATATAACAGATATACATGATAAAACCGAAGTGGGGACTAACTACAGAATAAAAACGGATACATTACATAAAACAACTTAATCCAACACATAAAAATACACAGCCGAGTTAGCCAACGCCTCAACGCACAAAGTGACGTCACATTTGAAATTCTAAAAAAAACACACAAAGTGACGTCACATTTGAATTTGTAAAAATATTTCCCAAAAATAAGATAGAATTATCATTGATTCAAGATTATATTTGTAATACTGACATTACATTTATTAATAACAATGAAAATTACAATACTTATTAATATCAAATTGTGGTAGTAATAGATAATTAATTGTATTATCTAGCTATGTCGGTGTTTCTTCTGAATCAAACTGTAAACCAAATATATCGTATAAATTTCGTTGAACCAAACTAAAATTTTAATTTTAATTATCTTTACCATAACACACGAATATAACAGAAAAGACGTTAAGACATTTGACAAAATCCGACGAGAATAACAAATATAACATGAATTTGGGATAGAAAAGTACCGTGACACGTCTTATAGCAATGCGGTTTCACACTCAGCAAAACAGTCACAATCGGGAATAAGTCACGTTCGGTAATTAAAAGATCAGACGACGTAATGACAAACCACAATCTAACACGTGGTAAAAATGTCCTTAGTTAGTTTGGACAAAGACACATCGTATGGATTAACCAATTCGTGATGGTGTCCGTAAAATTTACGGAGTGTCATTTTTAATCTGTCCTCCTCATAACTTTGTTGGAGCAGTTTTTGTACATGTTAGGTGTATATTCCATAGAAAATTTCTGTTTAATGGCATGTGCAAAAAAACAGTCAAAATCTATACTGAACTGTATCACAAATAGAAACTAGACATCATTGAGATGGGAGCCATCTCTGTGGGCCCTGCTGTGAATAACGTGTGGTAAAAAATTTGTATCTTTACCATAGGACATGGGGTCATCTAAAACCAAAGTTTTTGACCTTGACCTTTGAACTAGGAAGTTGTACATACATTATGACACAACCTCTGGTGTTGGTTAATATATATGTCAAATATAAAGTATGAATGAAATCAAAACGGTTCTCTAGATATAGAGCGGACACAGTTTGTTACGGACAGACGGACGGACGGACAGACTGCTCACTATTGTGCGACCCGCCATTCGGCAGGGCCCTTATAATCATTTTTGAATTATGATTCTACGTGCAGATTTTTATAAAAAGTGTGATTACCCATCCATTTTCTTGTATAGCTAAATTGTATAAAAAGCTATAACAAAATCAATAATTGTCCTTTAAATCTATCTCATTGTTTAGCGCCATGACTACTGATGGATTAGTAGAACAACAAATAGCGCAAATAAGAATCGCATTATATTTGGTTGCATATACTTACAATGAAAACACCAGAAATATCAAATATGTCGACACCAAATGCTGACTTTGCAACTGTACTCAGTTCAACTCTAATTTTTCCTTCAACCCTGAAATTTTTTTTGGAAGTCTATTTTCTTATTTATTGCATCCACCGCCTTTTGAATTTCTTACATATATGCAAATATGTTTCTACCTGTAACATTAAAAATAAAAATGACACAATAAATGTGTTTTGCTGATAAATCAAATTAGTCAACTGTATGTGAATATTTTTGTCCTGTTTCTAAAGCTTGTACAAGTACAGTATATATTTCCTGACAATGTACCTAAAATGCACATGTAGACGAAACAAGCCGCTGTTAGCACACACAATAAGAAAAAATAATTTTACAAATGAAAAAATAAGATTTGGTTCTTGTACATTGCATACCAGATAAAAATCTATTTGCATACACTTGTCTTGGCGTGTCTGTGATAATTTCTTCATTCTCTGATTGTTCCTGAAAAAGAATATAATGAAATTGACAAAATCACATGTACACCATTCGTAACACGCTCCCCTAAAACTAGAATGGTGATGTAATAGTTAGTCAATATAAAAAGATGAAAAGTTTCGGCCCGTTCAATGTTGCATGAGAACGTGAAGACAATAAATGTAGAATATGTCTATGAGCCACAGATGTCCTCTCTTGTGAATATGCATGAGTCAACTTCCACAAACAGATGCAGGATTCACGTAGTTAAGACTGTATTTTGATTTTAAGCATTGTGTATAAGGCATTGGTTGAGGCAAACTAATGATAGAGAACGGAAACGACATATTTAGCATTTTTTATGTTTATAAATGGGTATAACTCATGAACGTTAAAAGTGACGCCACCCAATGTCCAAATTGATATGTGTTTTGTGGTGATATGCATTGTATATAAGTTTCATAACATTTGGTTGAGGAAAACTAAAGTTAAAGAATGGAAACCAATACTTTGCGGGACATTTTGGACAGACGGGACGGACGGACATGGGTAACACTCAATGCCCCCTCCGCTACGTTGGGGGCATAAAAATGTTCGTTCTAAAACACGAAGGGGATACCAATTAATGATAACACTTTGCATTCTTGACTCAATGAGAGATTAATATGGTATTTCATGTTGGATGGATCCTGTGATGATTGTGCCCAGTATAGAACAATGTATACTTTATTTAGTCAATAGATTTCCTATATGTTGTAACGACACTGTTGTACATACTATGTCCATATTTTCGCCTTGGTTCTCTACCGTTGGTGACATGGATGACATACAGGGGGCATATTCATTAGATTGATCTGCCTATGAAAGAAAGACATGAGTAGCAAGATTTAAAAATCACAGGGAAAAATCATATTCTCTTTGGAAGAACCTAACTGAAGGTGCAAGTAACAAGTGAAATTAATTGATCTTTATTGTCACCAGGGGCGTGTTTTATTTGGTCTCATCTGTACATCTCCAGAATGTCTTCTAGTGAAGAGTCCAAATAAATAAGCCTGGCCCTCTACTGGAGTTATGCAGAATTTTTTTTTTTATGTTGGATGACAAAGTTTACGATGATTTATTAGAAAATTTCTAGTTACGTCAGGTCATTCGGTAGACATGACTCTGTTTTGGCATTGATGTAATCATATTATCAGTGAAAAAACAAAGAAAATTAGTTGGAAGAAATCGCTGCATGTGTTCGTGTCATTTTTTCTTTATGCTTTTCTAACTTGATTAAGCTCAACAAATCCGGCTTAAAGCTCCGACCATTTAATTTTCAGCAATAATCTTAAACTGTACAAGAATTTGTCAATGTTTGTCTGGTATATGATCGAAACTGATATCTTGCCTCAATTTTTCTCAAGTAACAAAGCTAGATTATTGTTGTATATAAAAGATATCGCAGACGGTTCTCACCATCTTTCTTCCCTGGTGGTTCTTGAAGAAAATCTGCTGGTCCTAACTATTAATTCTATTGCCAAATGCCAAAAATGTGCCGTTCCTTGCAAAATTTTGATGATCAAAACCTTCGGACCACCACTTTTCGAGAACCTTAATTGTATATGTATATTATACAAGGTTGTGGCATTTCTCAGACTGCTTCTGACTAAATCCGTTGGTTATGTAATGATTGTCCTCTCTCGTCAGGGAGAACATAATTTATTTGTAAGTTGTAATTGGCTTTGAACAAGCTTTCAGTTATTGGAAATACTCTTATTTCGATGCTTTGTGTTTATTGTCTTAATGTTAGTTGTTAATTTTGTTCTTGTTTCTCGTACCGATCTTTTGAGTTAATCCATTTGCAACTGATTTTTACAGATTGTTCTTATGTTGTACTGTTACATCACTGTCCAAGTTTAGGGAAGGGCTGAGCGCTCACAAAAATATTTAACCTTGTCACACTCTTTATGTGCTTCAGTCTGTCACAAGTCAGGAGCCTAATTGGCAATCATAGCACATCTCCTTCTTTTGATATTATATACATGACTTTTAAACTCGTGTTTTCCTCAACCGTTCGGCATCCATGAAATATTAGTCACTGGACGTTAAAAATAAGCAAAACTATTTGATTTCTTTTTTAAGTGGGGTTGGGGTTGGGGAGATGACATATATGAAGTTTACGATGATTTATTAGAAAATTAAGATACGTCAGTTCTTCGGTAGACATATAAAAAAGAAGATGGTGTATGATTGCAAATGAGACAACTCTCCACAAGAGACAAAAATGACACAGAAACTAACAGCTATAGGTCTACGTACGGCCTACAACAATGAGCAAAGCATAGTCAACTATAAAAGGCCCCAAAATTAACAATGTAAAACAATTCAAACGAGAAAACTAACGGCCTAGTTAATGTACAAAAAATTAAACACATATTAGAACTACATACAAAACTTTCTGTGTCATTTGGTCTCTTGTGTGTGTTGGTTAGCTTTTATTGGTGGATGAAGCTTAAGTGCCTTAAGAAAACAACATACCTTTGTAAGGAAGATGGCAACAAAAACATCTGACTTATGTTAACAAACTGGTTCTGTGGATTTGCCTTACAAATCTTCTTTTTAATTTTAAGAATTAAATCATATATGTAAAAAAAATATTTTAATCATTTTTGTTCAAATTGTATACCTTCATCATAGTTTCCATTTACTTTATAAAACGATAACTGTTTAACAATTATTATTACATTTTTAGGTCACAGCTCTGTAAAAAGAAGCCATGATGGCATTAGTTTAAAATCCAGATGCAGAACAAAAAATGGGGAAAAATTTAGAATAGATGTAATCTATTACTACCATAATGCTCAAGTTAGTATTCATTAAAACAGTTATATATATATGTGTCTTAACTTTTTTCTCAAAAAATTGAAATACTCAGTGTGATTGTTTAGATACAAAATGACAAGACAATTTAGCAGTCAGCATATAATACTATAAATAGAAAACTAAAGACTGAGAAACACAATCCCCACAACAACGAAAATGAAGTGATCTCTGATGCTCCAGAAGGGTAATCAGATACTGCTCCTATTTTGGCAACCATCTTATTGCTCAACATTTGTAATACCGGGTTGCTTGTATGGTTTGGTGGTTTCATTTGATGAAAAGAGCATTAAGTTTTATAGATAAGAAAACTACAAACATTTTTAATTGTTTGGTCTGCACAAGATAGGCAATTTGACATTGCGAGCAATTAAAGCAGATATCTCCTCGTTTGACGTTGCCAGGCTACCTTACTTTGGCTAAGGTTACGGTAGCCATTTTTAAAATTCCAAAGTCAAAGAAAATATCTCTATGTGTCGATTAACATGTCTGTAAAATTTCATTAAGTTTGGAAAATTTTGATTTATTTTTCATTTTGGCCATTTTCATGGCAATGACAGCCATTTTGAAATTTCTATAGTCAGATTGCACATCCACACATACTAATGCTCGGTATAAAGATATTGACAAATATAATGCATACCCATGTTAAAATAAGCATAGAGCATGGCATGAAAGAATTATTTCTTAATCACATATTACTTTTTCCTTGATGAACAGAAAAAATCATGTTTTAGCCAAATAAAATCTTTTGTCGTAGAATAATGTATCCAAAAATGAAGAATCATACAGTTATTAGTACCTAATACAGATTTATGTTTGTAATTTCTTGCAGGTCAAATTTGGTGAAATAACAAGTATTTCTAGTACACTGGTAGGTATTTCAAGAATGCATAAATTGGAAGATAAAGATAGAGTTTTTAAATGTTACAAATTAAGAAAAACATCAGATAAATACTTTATTTCAATTGAAGATGTGCATGGTATTGTTTATGTAGTGCATGATTGCTGTAGTTGTGGCTGTTGTGTCATGATAACACGGAATGAGGGAAAAATTTCCAGGGTTTTAAAACACAATTCAGATCATCCTGTTTTTTTTTAATTAATAAGCTTAAAATGAATTTTACCATAAATTGTGATAATTTTTGTTTCTTTTTCTTAAGTAGTATACCATATTTTTGGTTGATGGAGAGAATGAATTGGAATGTTTATCAATAATAATTATCAAGGATAACCATGTTCTGCTTGTATTTTGATTTTTGGTCGGGTTTGACGAAGTCAAAATCTCGGTCTATAGTATGGACAGATCGACAATTTATATGGAACACTGTTATTTTAATAGACGAAAATAGTTGGGGTTTTTTTGGGGTTTTTTTTTTTTAGCTTTTTTTTTCAGATCTCGAAAAACTTACCATTTATATTTGTTGGATTCAATTTATAACTCAGCCATATAAAGGAAGATAACTCTTATAGCAACGATTTTATAAAGGAATGTTAATGAAATTTTCTTTTTCTCTCTTGCAGCAATAAGAATGAGTTCCTTGACACAATTTTATCATTGTATTTTCTAAAGGCACATAATATCAAAGCTATCTTATTGTTTCAAAATTCTATTGCGTTGATTTCTTTCTGTTCACAATAATGTATTTTTTCCATGAATAAACTATACAAAATTGTGCAATTTGTAGCTTAAATGATAGAACAGTGGTTGATGATTTTTGTCATGAACATCCAAAAATGGATATCAATTCAAAATTGGGTAGCAACAGCCGGGGAAATGGGTTTTCAACAATGTGCCATTAACAATCGAATTCCGAAAAATATACAAAGCTGGGAATAAGGTGTTATAGTCACTGTCTTTTTATAGCCTTATTCAATCAAATATTGATGATGCTACCAATATTAACATATAGTGAATCAATATTGTTTCTATTAGGTTGTTATTAAAAGTATCATTGTGGACTAACTGCACAGTATAGTTTACAGACAAAGTATATAAAATAGTGTTTAAAAACCTTAAAAACAGGTTCGTTTCTAGTTTCACAACTTTTAGATTTGATTTAAAAAAAAATACTTATTTGCATTGCATGTATTTATTATAAATTTTACATGTTTATGCATTTGAACATCTATTTGCATTTAGTTTAGAAATTAGAAGAAAGAATATTTATTATATTATAGTTAAATTTTCATTATGTTAAGAATATAGGAGTGAATTAGATCTTAGTTTCTGCAGAAATTTATATTTGTGACTTGATTTATTGATGGAATGGCATTTACTTGTAATGCTGCTTTACAGCTTTTCTATAAAAGCATGCGAAGCAAAACTTTGAACGACTTGCTTGCTATGTGGAACTTAACCTCGAAATGAAGTTAATGTTTATTGTCCAATCAAGTTCCAGTGTATAGTAAACAGACTAAAACTCCGCCTACCTGTTGTTTGCAAACATCCAAACAAACATAGCAAGCAAGTCGATCAAAGGTTTGCTTGCATGCTTTTATAGAAATTCTCCAAAAAATTATTTTCATATGAATAGTAGTTATTGATTGTGATTAAGGTGTAGCCTTATTGTTACAAGTGAAACAACATTAATCATGCATTCATCTTTGTACCAGCTTGCTTGAAAAAATCATTAAATTAATAGGGTTTTTGAGAAACGTCGATTGCCTAAAATGTGTATTCATTTACAGCAGTTCTAAACATCTTTTATATATGTTTGAAAAACTTCATTTCGGTTTTTTATTAAATGTGATTTATCAACAAACAAATTGTAGATATGATTTCTATATGTTCAGTTGAACAATTGGCGCAATAGTAAATTTTAAGACTTACTTTTTTGCAGACTTGTTATCAGACATTCCTGATACATGAACTTCATGTCTTGCAATAAAGATCAACTTTCATTAAACATGAGTTTCTAATAACATATCTCTTAAATATTTTTATTGTAGTATTAAATCTGTAAAAATACTGATAAAGTAGACAAATTATAGATGTTATGCTCAATTGTTGTTAATTTTTTAATAATATGAAGGAAAGAACATAACAGCATCAATACAAACATTATAATAACCTTACCTACAATCAAAAATAAGGGCTAATGTGTATTATAATACAAATCCCTGCATGCAATGTACCAGGGTACTTCATGCATGCTTGCTTTGGACAAATTACAAGTGAAAAAAATTGCAGCATGATTAATGTATACCAAAAAAAAGGAAATCTGTCAATGGCTGTCATTAGATTTATTTAACCATTAAAAATCCTACAATGGGCATATGAATGGAAATTTATTTATGAGACCTGGCATTATGCTACTTTTTATTGTGAAAATAAACAATATTGACATAAAATATCATTATTAGAATTGGACCCACCGGATTCAAACTGGAAAAGTGGTTGTATTCTAATTATTCCCTCAGCACACATCATAAAGGAGAAAAAACATAAACTCATCAGTCTGAAGGTACCTGTCAAGGTAGGGTGACATGTCTTCTTGCAGATTCTCTCCTTGTGGTGAACTAGCATTTTAAAAATTCAGCTCGGTGCATTATTGGTCTAGTACAAAATAGGGTAAATATTTATATATGAGTATCATGTCCTCGTCCTAATTAGGCGCTTAACTTGCCACTGGATGACAAAACATCCATCCATCCATCTTCCCGAAAGCAATATATCCAGTTGCAATTTTCAAGTCTTGTTAATAATGTTTTGATTTGACCTAAGCAAGACACAGATAATATCACTGGTGTCAACGTGATGATCGTAACTGCAATTACGACCATCCCTATATGGCGGATACAACTTCAGGTAAATTTTTAGGCCGATTTCTCCAACAGCTTATTTTCAGATTTGTATTATGTCAAGAAACATCTTTAAAGCAACCAGAAGAACGAAAATCGAGATACAAAAAACACGATGATGATCGTAACTTCGTGTATGGATGATCGTAACTTGGACTTGTTTTTATAAAAAGATGATCGTAACTCAAAATTTACTATGTGTTTCTTCTTTAAATGAACATCCTATTTAGCAGTACCGATATATTGGTATCACTAAAATAGTAAGATTTAAAAAACTGAACAAAATGAGCGTTAATGAACACCTCAATTTGTCAAAAAGAAATGAAATAAGGGGGAATTAGCCGGCTTATTTGTAAATATTATCAATATATATCATTGAGATGGGAGCCATCTCTGTGGGCCCCGCTGTGAATAATGTGCGTTATAAATTTGTATCTTCAATAGGACATGGGGTTGTCAACTGAAACCAAAGTTTTTTACCTTGAACTTTGACCTAGGAAGTTGTACATAAATTATGACACACACCCTCTGGTGTTTGGTTTATATACATGTCAAGTATAAACTTTGAAATCATAACGGTTCTCAAGATATAGAGCGGACACGATCTTTACCATAGGACAAGGGGTTGTCAACAGGAACCAAAGTTTTTGACCTTGACCTTTGACATAGGAAGTTGTACATACATTATGACACACCCTTTGGTGTTGGTTAATATACATGCCAAGTATAATCTTTGGAATCAAAACGGTTCTCAAGATATAGAGCAGACACGATCTTTACCATAGGACAGGGGGTTGTCAACTGAAACCAAAGTTTTTGACCTTGACCTTTGACCTAGGAATTTGTACATACATTATGACACACCCTCTGGTGTTGGTTAATATGCATGTCAAGTAAAAACTTTGAAATCATAACGGTTCTCAAGATATAGAGTGGACACAATTTGTTACGGACGGACGGACGGACAGACGGACGGACGGACAGACGGACAGACGGACAGACAGACTGATCACTATAGGGCGTACGCCATTCGGCGGGACCCTAATTATAATTTAGTTAACATTCAAAATGGAATACGTTTATATGAAGTAAATATAATATATCATCCTATTGATACAGTCTAAGATTGCAGGGCAAAACTTTCACTGAATATTAATAAAATATTTTAGAAATAAGAAAGTAGGCATGAAGTTACATTATTTTGATGTGTTTCAATC